GTGTCGTGAGCGCGCTACCTTGAGAGACGACAATCTTCCCGGAAGCATCTGGAAGGAGAAAGGGCGGTGCCTCTGAAGGGCCCTGGTCGAAGCACTGGGTCACGGTCACCATGCCAACCCAATGGGAGTAGGTCACGCATGCGATGGCTGCTGTCCATTTTGGCACTTTGCTGCGCTGATAGAAGTCCTGCCGGGTGTGCCAGCCCATATGAGACGATTACCGGACCGTCTATAAACATTTCTGGTTGGGGACTCAGTGTTGATTCTGGCTGTGATCGTCGTCTTGTCTACGACGTCAAAGAATTCCTGAGGAGATGGGGGCTCTCCTTAAATCCCTCCTGACCAGTCAGATCACACTGGGCAGTAAGGCTCGTTCCGTACGAGGGTAAATAAGAGGGGATGGGCTGGCTTGCTCGGCAATGACTTGGGCACAGGGGTGGGCCGAAAACACACACGAAGACACCGCTGCTCATTGATGCTATTCAGTATGTTGGATTGAGGGGAGGGTAGGTTCTAATTGATGCTCAACTGGAAACACAACCATACCCATTGATCATACATCTGCAACATGGTCTTGGTTTATTATTGATTAGTTGGTTGACAGTTGCTAACGCCTCACAGAAAGATTAGAGTAGAACTGTTGTATACTACCATAGCCAGTTCTATCTAATGCTGCTGTAAGTGAACTAATCAAGGTACACCTAGACTATGTTGACAGTCTATTGTGAATGTTGTAGGCTGCCACTTGATCGGTAAAGTAGGGGACCTGCCGGACACAATTATTTTTAGAAAATTAGGTGTCGGTCAGACACATGCTGTGGTAGGACTCCACTAGGGTGTTCTAGTGTTGATAGTGTTTGCCTAACTGATGAGTGGATCAGACACTGTCGAGGGTGAAGTTGACAATGCGAGACTGACACGTTCGAGATCACTTAGGGTCCCGTACGTGTTCCAGGCCTTACAACCGGGAGAAGAAAGTCGGCTTCGTGTTGAACGCAGAGCCCGTGCTCTAGCAGCAGTGAGGGCGGCAGCAAACGAAGCAGCTAGAGAGCAGGCAGCAGCAGCCAGAGTAACAGCAATAGTTAATGGCGCAAGCTCTGCTGCGTCCTTGTCTGGGACCCAGTTGGGAATGCGCCTTGGGCCCACGGGTACTTCCGGTTCAATGAGTTCTGGTCAGTCTATTAGTCAAATGGCGGGCTCGCAGTTAAGCCCGTTGACCCTACGCGGCAGGGAGCTTCTAGAGCTCCAACAGGTCGAAAGGATCCACGAGCAGTTAGAGAGGGAACTGAAGCAGGCAACCGATAGAGAAAAGGAGATCAAAAATAGAACAGCCAGGCTCGATACGTTAGAGGCAGACAAGGCTGCATTAGAGGGTTTGGATGAATCAGCAATGTCTGACCAACTGAAAGTATTGAAGAACAATATGCTGTCGTTGCATGCGCACGTGGACAGCAGATTGGACTTTATGCAGAACTCTCTAGACCAGATCTTGGACCTTGTGTAAAGGTCAGGATATAGGCCAGCAGCACAGTCGCCGTTGCCGTTAACGACGATGTCAGGCCCCTTTCCGGTACAAGCTGGCACACAACCAAGTGGTACGCCTGCAACAGCCGCACAGACTGTTGCTTCTTCTTCTTCGGGTCCAGTGGTGGTAGCTACACCACCATCGCAACAACCTGTTCCTCAACAGGGACAACAACAAGGTCAATTGTATCCTAAGACCCCTATGCAACCACCCCTTGCCTTCTCAGGTGAGAAGAAGGACGAGGACCTCAACACTTGGTTGAGAACGGTTCCGGTATGGGTAAAGGCGAAGAGGACTTTGCAGGAGGAGGAGGTGATTACTGCTGCGTCTTACCTTGAGGGTAAGGCAGCCAAATGGCTGGATGGTATAGTAGCGATGGCCGGGTACGGACGACGCATGGCGGAATGGGCTAAGACCATGATGTTAGACCAATTCTTAGAAATGGTAGAAGCTCGTTGGCACAATCCACAGCAGGCACAAATTGCCACTGATGCGATGCATAGACTAGACCAAAGAAAGTTCAAGTCAGTCAGGGAGCTTACGACTACCATAGAGAGCCTCATCGTTGTTCTCGGCATCAACTACGATGACGAATTCCTGTTGACCACATTTGTGAGATGTCTCCCAGAGAACCTCAGGGATTTGTTGGCCAGCGAGGCTCGCCTCGAGTATCATTCGTTTGAGACCTTATCTAGAAAAGCCTTAGACTTAGAGGCTACTCTAGGAAGTGCTGAACCTTCTCAGAATGACACAAGGAAGAAGAAGAGTCCACAGGAATGGAAGAAGAAGGGCACTAAATTGATGATGGTTGAGTCCGATGGGACTCGAACAGAGATCGAGGAGCTCTCCGACCTGTTGGACGGTTCAGAGTACGACGACGAGGAGACTGCTGAGGGTAGCACCCTTGCCGCAGTAGTTAAGGCTAAGGCTGGTGGCCGAGTGAAGGGCCATCAAAAGAGTCAAGGGAAGGCCGCCTCCAATCAGACCAAAGTTGCTGATTGGGTCAAGGCAGGTCTTGATCAAGAAGTGTGGCGATACCGTCGAGTGTGTGGTGCTTGCATTAACTGTGGTGAATACGGACACACCCAGTACAAGTGCCAGAACGCAAAGGTCACGCAGAAGATACCTCCTAAGATGGGGGCATCTTCTTCCCAGGCTTCTAGCTCGGGAAACACGTGAGGCCGGTGAAAGTTTTAGCTGCTTCTACTCATGGTGAAGTAGGCCAGATACCCTCCCCACTTCATGAGATGGCCATAGCTAATGACTCTTTAGTCACCCCGCAGATTCATCCAGACCAAACAATGCTCTGTATGTTGGATGTGTCTCAAGCCTTAGAAGATTTGGAGAGTGAGTGGTCAAGCAAGGACCCTCGCGAACCTTGGGTGGCACTAAGGAAAGGTCCTAAAGGGGAATATTTCGTGGTGGAAGTTGATGTAGGAGGCCGCAAATGTGGCGCCTTCATAGACATTGGCTCCACGCAGAATTACATAAGTCGCGACTGTTTGGAAAGGCTGCACCTACAAGACCGGGTACAACACCTTAGTAGACCTGTAGCATCTACTTTGGCCAATAAGGAGCGCATGATTGTCACAGACTATATTAAGGATGTAGTCTGTACCTTCTCCTATGGAGGAGGGGAAATTAATCATAAGATTTCGTTCCTGGTTAGTGACGACTTGCCATTCGACATGTTGTTAGGAATGTACTACCTTGAGGTTGCCAAGCCCCAGTTTGACTGGGACAAGAAGGTGCTAAAGCATAAGTTGCCTGATGGCAGAACAGTCAGATTGACTGAGTTCAAAGCCAGTAGCATAATAGATACCTATGGCTGCTTGTGTGCATCAGCATTCTACAACTATTACAAACAGAACCAAGAGGAGGGTATATACCTAGTGTATGTCTCTGAGAAAGGGGAGGCCGTTAAAACACCCCTAGAGATAGAACACGTCGTTGCTAAGTTCCCTGATCTGTTCGCAGAGCCTACAGGAGTCGTAGAAAGGGAGGTTGTCCACGCCATAGAAATAATTCCAGGGAGTAAAAACCCAAAGGGAAGGATCTATAGGATGGCTCCGGTCGAGTTGGATGAACTTCGGCGACAACTGAAAGAGCTGACAGAAAAGGGATGGATCCGGCCAAGTACTTCCCCCTACGGATCTCCAGTGCTATTTGTACCGAAGAAGGGGGGTACATTGAGGATGTGCATTAACTATAGAAGCCTCAATGCCATCACAGTGAAGAACGCAGAGCCTCTACCTCGCATAGACGACCTATTGGATAGGGTGCAGGAATGCAAGTACTATAGCAAGATAGATTTAAAATCCGGCTACCATCAGATCGCAATAAGACCTGAGGATCATCACAAGACTGCATTTCAGACCAGATATGGTCTGTATGAGTTTGTTGTGATGCCCTTTGGCCTTTGTAATGCATCGGGTACATTCCAGCACACCATGAATAGGATCTTCCATGACCACTTAGATAAGTTTGTCGTTGTTTATCTCGACGATATTCTGATCTTTAGTAAGTCTGCCAAGGAGCGCGCACAACATGTTGAGACTGTACTATCTCTCCTACGACAACACAAGTATAAGGTTAATCTAAAGAAGTGTGAGCTTGGACGCACTAAGATCTTATACTTGGGTCATGAAGTATCCACGGAAGGTATTAGGCCGGAAGATGCGAAGGTGGCTAGTATTCGAGACTCGCCACGACCTCAGACTGTCACTGAGGTCAGATCTTTCTTAGGAATGTGCGACTACTATAGAAATTTCGTAAAGAACTATTCCACAGTCGCGTCTCCTTTGACAGATCTTACTCGACTTGATACGCCGTGGGACTGGAGTGATGAGTGCGAGGGTGCTTTCAAATGACTGAAGCATGCACTTATGAATCATGAGGTTCTCATGTTGCCTGATCCTCAGAAGCCGTTCATAGTGACCACTGACGCAAACCAATACGACATTGACGTAGTGCTGACTCAGCAGGATGGGAAGAAGTTGAGACCGATTGAGTACATGAGCAAGAAGATGCCATCGAAGAAATTGACAAAATCCACCCATGAAAGGGAACTCTATGCTCTCTACAAGACACTTGTCCATTGGAGACATTTTCTGTTGGGACGGTTCTTCTATTTGAGAACTGACCATCAGACGCTCAAATGGATCAAGACTCAACCGGCTCTTTGCACTCAAACAATGGATTGAGGTCATAGATCAGTATGACTTCAAGCTTAAGTATCTGAAGGGAGAGTACAACAAGGTTGTAGATGCACTATCACGTAGGGCAGACTACCTAGGGGCGCTAGTTTCTGACTTTGGTGTATCTGACGAAGTAACTCAATCGTTTGTGGGAGCCTATCAGGAAGACCCTGTCACGATGGACATCATGCGCAAACTTAAGGCAAAAGACAAGGCCACGGAAAGTGAGTTTGTGATGGTGGACGGCTTGATAAGGCCGGAGTTAAAAGGTTAGTCGTTCCATCTAGTGAACGTTTGCGTAGTTTATTTATAGGAGAATGTCATGACGCAACCGGACACTTTGGCTACAAAAAAATGAGTGTCAATCTAGTACAACGATTTTGGTGGCCTGGAATGCTAGATGACGCAAAGAAGTATGTAGAGACCTGTCAGGTCTGTCAGCGGGACAAGCCGCGAACTCAAGCATTGCTTGGGTTGTTGAAGCCCTTACCTATCCCCGCTGGTCCAGGACAGAGTGTTTCCATGGATTTCATGGACACCCTGGTGACCAGTAAGAGAGGCAAGAGGCACATCTTCGTCATCATCGATCGATTCACCAAGTACGCTAGACTAGTCGCCATGCCAGAGACCGCAAGGACTGACCACGTCATCAAGTTGTTTATGGACAACTGGGTGCGTGATTTTGGAATTCCAAAGTCAATCGTTAGTGACAGAGATGTCTGATTCACAAGTGAGTTGTGGAAGAAGACTGCAGAGTAGATGGGCAGTCAACTTCAGATGACTTCAGGGAATCATCCCGAAGCCAACGGACAGGCCGAGCAGATGAACAGAGTTGTACAGCACTTGCTGAGGCATTACATTAAGCCCAACCAGGATGATTGGGATGAGAAGTTGCCTCTCATCGCCAACCTGTACAACAATGCTGTACACAACAGTACCGGCGTTAGTCCTAATCAACTGCACTTGGGATGAAAGCCTAGATCAACTCTAGACTTCCTCCTACCTGAAAACCGATTCTCTGCAACTCCAGGCACACTTGAGTATGGTGTGCAGTATGAGAAGTTGCTACAGCAAGTTGTCGAGCACATCAAGAAAGCTCAGCAAACAATGATTGCTTATGAGAACAAACATTGTCGATAGTCCTCATTTCAGGTAGGGGAATGTGTCTGGGTCAAGGCTAGTGAATTAGGACAGGAATTCGGAATCTCTCGACGTAAACTAATGCCTCAGTATTTTGGTCCATGGGAAGTCCTGGACATCGTCGGGGATGAGATGGATGGTCCTACGTATGTCATCCGTATCCCTGGTCACCTTCGCACTCACCCTGTCTTTCATGCCTTAAAGCTTGCACCTTTCGCTGAGACTGATCAATTCCCTTCAAGGAGATCGATGCTACCCCCAACCATGGATGGCCAAGTGGACATCGACGACATTGTGGATCACAGGGACACGCCTATTCCAAAGTCGTTGGGCCGAGGAAGACCTCATAAACCCAACAGAGAGTATCGCGTCAGATTCAGGCATCATAAGGATCCAAAAGAAGATCGGTGGTTTACCAAAGAGGAACTGATTGAGACAGCTCCTCAAGTGGTGGCAGAATATGAAAGAATGCTGAAAGGGAAGGCACCTGCGAAGTAAGCATCTCAGCGGACTTTCGAAGCTAAGGGGGATGGAATGTGAGGATTGAGCCCTCAAAGGGGCCTTGCCGACATGCATATGTTCTGGGCATAGGCCCCCAGCAAGCCTCGTGCCCGTCCTAAGTGAAGGCGGGCCAGACCTGTGACCGCCCTAAGTGAAGGCTGGTCAGAATATCCACGAACCGGCCTTTCTTTCAACATTTTTGTAAAGTGGGTATCCGACAGTTGCAGCACGCCAGTTGGTTGGAGTCCATCGTGGAACCCAGACTCCTGCGAGAAGCAGTTGAGCCCAGGGCCTCAGTTGGTTGAGCCCTGGGCACAGGCCAGGGAAGGCCGACACATCACACATTGGACGCTGGCCAATCAGAAAGCATCATTGGCGTAGTAGAGGCCGAGCGAACCAATGGGAAACCAGGAAGGGTCTGCATCTGGACGACAGCCCTGGCATAAGGGGCGCAACTGTACTTCCTGGGCCACATCTGTGGTGGGCCTGGGCGCAGCTACGGGGACACTGGCRCAGGCTCAAGGCAGGCCGCCCACACGCAACACTKGCATATAGGCAGAAGGGGCGAGTGGGCAGAAATCTTGGCCAATGCAGGCATTGCGGGCACGYTGCGCATTTGCGAGGTGCTGCGCTGTGCAGAGCTGCGCTGGGCTGAGGAAGGCAGGCAAGCGCTAAGCGGTAGAGCGCTGCCTGGGTGCAGGGCGCTGGCGGCCATAGCCGGGCTGCCTGTGGGCGCAGAGGAGGAAGGGCGAAGGTGGTTCTTCGGAGGTGAAGGGCGCTGTGTGGGATAACAAGGGAGAGTGAGGGTRAAKAGAGAGACGTACCTGGGTGGAGAGGAGGTCGACATTGGTGTTGACGTCATCACTCGCTGGTCGTCAAGTTGTCTGGTTGCTTCCATGCTGTAGTTGTAGCGATAGGCTGTAGAGTAGATAGGGCGCCAGGCGCCATTCAAGAGAGAGAGCTACATTGGGTTATGCTGTTGGTGTTGCCCGATTGGGCTTGGACATTGACTCACGTTTCTGCTGTATCATTCTCAAATGGATGGTTACTCGGTTCCATTGTGCTATCTGCTCTTGCTTTGACTACTCGGACTTCAGTGTGATTTTGCAATTTGGATTTCTGTGCTTCGTCCATATTCATGTTCCTTGCATTTTGGTATCGGAGCTGGTTTGATTCGCCACTTACCTTGGTGCGTTGGCGTTATACAGACTTGGTGCGTTGACGATGCTTCTTCGCAGTTGGTTCTTGTGACATCAGGCCATACTAGGCGCACGACCTGGGTAGAGAGGTGTGCGCCGGAAGGCTAAGACGGCATTGAGTGCCGTGGTGACAGGCGGAATGTATGATTGGTGATGAGAGCATGCTGATGTGGCATTTGGCTGAGGTGGCACTGCATTGCGTTGTGGGTGGTACCGAGGCTAAGACCGGTCATCAAATGCACACTCAGCTCAATTGGTGAGAAATCTGTGGTTGGGGGCAGCTATCTCCAGGTACGTTGTTCCCTTACCTTATCTACTCTCTCAATCTCTCCTTACCGTGAGGAAGTGAGTCCAACTTGAGCTGTCTCTTATACACATCTAGATGTGTATAAGAGACAGCTGTAGAGTAGGTCGGGCGCCTGGCGCCATTCAAGAGAGAGAGCTACATTGGGTTATGCTGTTGGTGTTGCCCGATTGGGCTTGGACATTGACTCACGTTTCTGCTGTATCATTCTCAAATGGATGGTTACTCGGTTCCATTGTGCTATCTGCTCTTGCTTTGACTACTCGGACTAGTGTGATTTTGCAATTTGGATTTCTGTACTTCGTCCATATTCATGTTCCTTTCATAAAGAAGAGCAAGGCAAAAAAAAAAAAAAAAAAAAAAAAAAAGCCCAGAGAAGAAAGGGAAAAGAAAAAAACCAAAAAAATTCAACGATATCAAGCTCATAAAAAAAAAAAAAAAAAAAAAAAAGAGGGGAGAAGAAACGACTTTCGACGCCGTCTAAATCGGACAAGCCCGCAATATTAATAACAAGCATGGCGATTTTAGTGGATAGCAATTACGATTATCTACGCATCCTTGCGATAGGGTAATATTAATGCTTTAACCAGTGCGCGCCCCAGGGGCCAGCTCGACCACTATGATAAGCCTACAACCAGCTCCGATCCCGTAGCAGAAGCGACATGTCAGCACCATAACTAGTTTCCCGCTCCAGATCGCATCCTCACATTTGTCATTGTCATTGCGCCCAGAAGTGTACCTACCCTTTGGCACGCCTCAATCCTGACGCGTCAGCATGTGCTCTCTTCGTATCCGAGATAGACGGTAAGTGAATCGCAGCCCGCATCTTGATCTCGCAGTAGAATCATCGGGGGCCTTACGAGTCTCTTGCTTCGGGTCGCAAGTTGATGATAGCACCGTTATGAAGCCCACTCCGTATACGCACAGGTACTCTCCTATGCCTTATCTTCCGACACGTCAACGCGCAATCTCTTCATGTCGCTAGTCGGCACGCGAATCGCATGACGTACGAATGCTCAGTTAAAATCCTAGACTGATGATCTATCCGCTACCGCCTTGTCCTTATGATACCGACGGACCTGACGAACAAAACTACATCGACTTTATATTACGTCTATCGAACTACTTATCAACATAGAAGATCAGTTGGTCGACATTAAGCAGCCGCTTTCGAATTCGAGAGGGGCAGACTCGGGGAAAGGTAAAGGAGAGTGTGGGAGAGGCAGGTAGAACGAGAGGACAAGATGTGGGAAGAAGGGAGGAAAGTGCGCTTACCAACGCTGAATTAAGCGTGCGGGCACGAGGTATCTCCAGAGGGGGAAAAAAAGTAAAAATCACAGGTGCACGCAGGGAAGTTCAAGGGAAGGTATTGGGCACAAGGTATCAACAAGGATTTGGGGGCAGGAAGATGGAAGGGGCGTCAAAAAAAAAGAAAACAGAAGAAGGAAGGAGAGAGTGAAAACACGGTTGATTGATTGATTGATTGATTGATTGATTGATTGATTGATTGATTGAATGATTGATTGATTGATTGAGTGATTGGTTGATTGATTGATTGATTG